GATCTTCCCTCCATCTAGCTGCATGTACCAGTTGAGAGCGACATCTGAAAAGCTTTCCTGAAAATAGTGTATCAGGAGCTTTTCATTGTCCACGTAGGTTGCCATCTTCCTACATTACATTGTTAGATGTCCTTTTGGACAACTGGCTCCGGTGTACTTTGGGAAGTCAGGGATTTTGAACTTGGCGGGGAATTGGATGTATTGCACCAAGCACATATTCGTAGCCTCTTGAACATCAAAACTATGGCCTTCCACAACTCTCAATCTTTCTTCCAAGGCGTTCAGATGATCTTTGGAAACATCACCGACGTTGCTAGTAGTATTGTCGTGCTGCAATTTGTTCATAGCCTCAAGCATTCTAGCCATTTGTTCCTTGAGCTATTCAAGCTCCTCATTGAGGACACAATTTCTTTCCTCTAGGTTTTCGATAGCTTTTATCTTTTGAGCTCGTGTGAGTACGGAATGTTGAAAAGCCACCTTTAAGGGATAAGATAATTTCCTATTAAGCTTATTTAAATGATAATGCATTAAGGAAGTCTCTCAACAAAGACTTGGTAGCCACTCCTTTGAACATGAGATCAAAGTGTCCCTTTTCACAAATTTTTACGATGTAACAAAGGTCACACTAATTGGAGTTCATCAGTCTTTGTGAGAAATCTCCTTGTGATCATAGGAATGTATGTGGTATGCATGTCCCTCCTTTTTACTCTCTCTTTTATATTTTTTTATTTTTTTTATTTTTGGAAAATGCATGATGCCCCTTTTTTAAAGAGGGAATGTATGATTCTCACAGATCTTATTTTCACACTAGGTTTTCTCTCACATGATAATGCATTTTTTTTATTTTTTTTTTGTGTTTTTCATTACCTTAGGGGAATTATAAAAAATAAATGAATGGTTTGAATAGACAAAATGCAACAAACATATGCTCATACAATCCACAAGCAGTCGCGTATAAATCCATGGTCTGTGGTCCCTGTTAAGAAAAGTGCATTGTATAGGACGGTTCTAATTATCCTCACTTTGGTCTTAAGGTCCCCAAGGTGCCCCCATTATAGGGACCCAGTATCTCTGTCGCTGTCACCTGGCAAACTCTAAGGTCTGTCGTAGTATTTCGGGCTAGAGTAACCGGTTATCACCTTGAGTGTGATATCCAACAAGGCTCGCAGGCTCCAAGGCCAAACTTGGGCCGGTCGTACGTCAACCACTCCCTATGTTTAATACTCTCATGCCCCCGGGTGTAGGGGGAACTATTGTGTGCAAAGGTTTGTGTACAATTTTTATTCCAAACATGTGCGCAATTTAAATGAACAAATAGATACCAAAGCTAAATAAAGAAAACAAATAAGGTAAATAGGAAAAATATTTAAATTATTTATTCTTATTTTATTAACTTCATCATTTATTTGGGCCTGACCCTCTTAAAACGTCTCCAGTGGAGTCGCCATCTGTCGCAACCCGAAAATTTCTGATCTCGCGACCTATGGTTTAGACATCCTTTTAAAAGTCTCATTAATTAAGAAATACCCAGACACCAGACTAATTCTTAATTAATGGTTTTGAAAATAGGTTCATGGAGTCGCCACCAATATTTTACGCAAAACATTGGGAAAAAGAAAAGGTTTTTAAAGATCCAACTATGGCCTTGATAACCAGAATTGGGTTCGGGGGTCGGTTACGTGTAAGGAAGGTATTAAGCACCCCTACAGTGCCCTCAATCGATACCCTATGATGAAGTTAACACGATAAGAATTTATAAATTAAATATTGAATCCCCTTTATTAATATTTATTTACATGCTTAAAATATAAATTAAGCAATTAACCCTAAAATATTATAACAAAAAAAGAGATAAAGATGGGAAATAAAAGGAAGAGAAGAAGATTGACTGAAATACCTCTTGAACAAGCTTTATTGAATCTTCAAATATGGAGAAGGTGCTTTGTGGCGACCTTTCACACTATAGTATGCCTCACAGATCTCAAGAAATACAATAGGAGGGAGACAGAATATAGAGATGCGACACAAATCTCAAGAAATATAATAGAAGGGAGAAAGATATACGATTTTCTTGCTCAAAGGAGTCTTCTTCAAAATTTCTCTGGCCGCCTGGAGAACTATGCCCGAGGCCTCTATTTATAGGAATCAGAAGGGGCCAGAACGGCCTGTTCTGGATTCAGAACGGCCCATTCTGGGCTAGTCCGTTGTGGGTAAAATAAGAAATTGGAACGGCCCGTTCCAAAAGTGGAACGGCCCGTTCTGGGTTCAAATTTTACTTACACAAAGTTGTTCTGGAATGGCCCGTTCCCAATTAGGGTTTTAGGCCCATTTGATGATTTGAAACGGCCCGTTCTGGGCAAGTTTGTTATAGGTAAAATAGGAATCTGGAACGACCCGTTCCAAAAGTGGAACGGCCCATTCTGGGTGCAAATCTTGCTTATAACAACTTGTTTTGGAACAAGCCGTTCCATTTTGGGAACAGCCTGTTTAGGTCTTGGGAACGGCCCGTTCCGGTGTTGGAACAGCCCGTTCTAGGCTACTAAAACCAGCTTATTTAGGCTTTAGGTCTTCTAATGTCCTGTCTTGTTGTTTGCCTATTTCGGGAGCTCCTTCCCTTCATAACGGAGGTCATTTTCCTTGTTTGTGTGCCCCTAGACGAAATTGGGTGTCTACACTACTTTCCTGATTTTTTGACATCTCTTGTAGGAAATTGAAGTATTTCCGTATAAAAGAGCTAAAAGATGTGCTCACTCAGTTACAACTTTCAAAGCAGGGAAAGAAGCAGGTGAGATAATAAAACTATTACCAAGTTTGTCATTGTTATTTGTGAGGCTTTTTCAATGGCAAAACCTTGAGTGCTGAATGTAATTTATTGCCTGATTACTGTTTTGTTGACCATGAGAATCACTGTTTCTTCCTTAATTAGTTAATCATTTTTTCCTGAGTTTTCTCATCATGTAACATACAATGTGGATTATTATATATGGATCTTGTATGATTAGACATCATACTTAGTGCTTGATAATACGAGTTTGCAACTCTTAAAATGGATGAATACAGTCAATTTATGACATGAAGTTTCATTTCATTATTGTAATATCTTTGGTTTGGACTCCATGTATTGTTTCCTTTTTAATCCTGAATTTAGTATGATGTCTTCGAGGTTTTGGATGATATATTGATGTCAGTGTGTTCATCTTTTGTAGGATCTTGTTGATCGCATATTATCCGTTCTCTCAGATGAACAAGGTAAAATTGTATACATGCATAGACACATTACTCAGTATTTGGGTATTCTGTCATATCCATCTGTTTTATTTTCACAATGTTTCTATTTGAGCTGTCATCATGACTATATACTGGAAGTTTAGACTTTAGACAATGTTCACATATGGCAATGTGTATGGAATTTAATATTTGAATTCTTAACTAAACTGAGCATAGCTGCAAATTTTTCCATTTGTCTATCAACACGTTGTTGAAATTGTCAATCATAGTAATTGTAATGATAGTTTAAATGGAATTCTTGAAATAAGGGCATATGTTTTTTTCATTTGCTCCAATGTAAACTCTCCTTGTAGTTTGATAAATTTGAGCTATTTTTTTCCCTGGCATGCATTTGTATCCCAAATTTCTGTTATTTCCCTATTCTCTAACTTTTTATGTTAGAAGCTGGCTTGCCATGTTCTATCTTTTCTGGAAATGATAGGACATTTTGTGGGCATAGTTCATTGGATCATAATGCATTTGGATTATTATGCATCTAATTTAATTTTGTGATTATAATACATTGAATCTTCTTTCTTGTGTTTCTTCCTCCTTTTTTCCTGTTAACTAAGAAACTTGTTGCTCTTTTCCCAGTTTCGAAAATGTGGGCTAAGAAGAATGTTGTTGGAAAAGAACAAGTGGCCAAATTAGTGGATGATACATATAGGTCAGTGTTAGCAACAACACTCTTGATAATATTTTCTTCTAGCTTTGGTATGGTTCAGATGCATGTAGTGACGTAACTTACTTGGCTGAGTTCACATAAATGATCTGGCACCTTACTATTAGGTCTGGTTTAAGTTGATTATACTGCTTCATATATGTTGTGTTTCTTGTCGTTAGCTTTGTTATCTTTATTGGCATTCTTGTATCTCCTTTTACCCAAGAAAATGCAGATATCTAGGGCCACTAATCTAGCATCCAAGGGGCAAGGTGCATCAAATAGCAGTAGTGTAAAAGTTAAAGGCGAATTTGATGTAAAAGTTAAAGGTGAATTTGATGATTCCTTTCAACCAGATGCAAAGATTCGCTGTCTATGTGGAAGTAGATTGGAAACAAAGGATTTGGTCAAGGTTTACCATTAAAGGATTTTTTTGCTCTGTCACAGATTTTGGGTTTCGGTGGCACACCCTTTGCATCCTGTGAAGTTGACTACAACCAGCAACCCAACTGATGGGTGAGTGAGTAACTGGTGTAATTGGGTTTGGGTTCATTTGTCTCTTTATAAATTGAATGTCTTGTTAATATGTCTTGGAATTTAGATTTTTTTTCCTTGTTGTCTTGTTTCCATGTAAGAGACTAAAAGTTCCTTCATTCTGGCTTGAATGCTAGTTTTTTTTGTGGGGTGCGTTGGGGATTTTCTGGATACATTTTAAGCATTTCCTTAATAGGAAGTGATGCTTGCATTTCTTGTTTATGAGTAAATTTGAGGAATGCAATTGTTGTATTGAAACAATATTTTTTATTTATTTCATTGGTACCATTTGTTTATCTGGTCTGGGGTATTTGCAAAAATTTATGCTACATCATGTTGTTTGGGAATGGCCAAATTTGTGGTTACACTTCAGTTGGGAATGACAGTTATTTTGTCTAGAGCTATATATATGTTCATTACAGGTAATCAGAAATAATCTAAAAATAAGCATAATTTTTTTTAAAAAATGAAATCTACATCGGTTTTTCAGAACCGATGTAAAAATGTATACATTTTCTACGTCGCTCTATTCTACATTGGTTTTAGAACCGATGTAGATGCCTTTAGAGAACCGATGTAGAATATGCATCTTGTAGTAGTGGTAACTTGAAAGTTGATTGAGATGATGAGTTGAAAGTTGTATGTTGTTCAAGTTGTTGAGCTGACCTGTACTGTTGAGTTGTAAGCTGATTCAGTTGTGATGATAAGTTATTGATCACTAGGATTAGAGGAGATGTTTTCGAAGTTGCTCATCCCATTGTGCGGATTGAGATAGTTGTGGTGCTTTGAGAGCGCAATTTGTTGAAAACCCTTCTTGGGAAGTTCTCCCTTGGAGTGAACGTTGTGTTGTTCTCCTCTAGGACTTAGTTGGTCCCGTGTGTGGGCAAGGTCGAGGCACACGTGTACAAAGTGATCACGATATAGGGGCAAGGTCGAGCTATACCGATTACAAAGCGACCACGGTATAGGGGCAAGGTCGAGCTATATCGATTACAAAGTGACCACGGTATAGGGGTTAGTTCGAGCTATACCGTTTACAAGCGGCCAATTTGAGTAAAGTACGAAGTCGGGAACTTAGTTCCTAATCGAGTATTGGAGGGTTGTAGTATTTGGAGGATAATCGGTAGGCTAATCCCATAAATGACTTAGTTGAGCTAGCTAATGCCGTGGTAGGCCTAAACCCAGTTGTTATATCCTAACATAGTACTATACTTCCTTGTTTAAGTGGTAAAGTTTGAGAAATCGTTATCATGTTGTGGATTTCTATCCAAATTTGTTGTTTACCTAGCAAGCCCAAAAAGGTTCTGTGTTGTCGGTTCGGTAGGACCTAACCACTTAGACTACTCACCACATTGTAGGAGATCTCCGAGTTGAAACGCGTGACGATGCATAAGTTGTTGATGAGTTGATTTATTTTTGATACGAGTTGTATATATGTTGTTGTGTTGTTAAGTTGTGATTGTGTTGTATGTTGACCCTATTGAGGATGCTGATAGTGTTGTTATGTTGTAGGTTGCTTATTTGTATACAAGTTGACGATGATGCTAGGGTCGCTAGATTACTTGTGTTGTAAGTTTCTTTTAAACATGTGTTGTTGAGAGGTGTGTAATACATGTCTTGGTTGTTGTTATGATGAATATGATAACTATTCCAATGATTTGTACAATAGTTGCGTTGAAGTGTTGATATGTGGAATCAAGTTGAAATGATGTTAAGATGTATAGTATATATGTTGTTTGTCTTATATGTCGGAAGCGAAGATGATTATATAGTTGTTGTGTTGCATATTAAAGTCATATAAGTTGTTTATTGTCTCTAGCTTACCCTTACATGTTTCCATGTGGTTTGGACTACGATGATCATACGTTGTATGGGAGCAGGGTAGGGATAGGCTAGGAGATAGCTGCTAGAGGTCACAGGAGGTGCTAGAGATGGATTTTTTTTTGTAGGCTACCTTAAAATAGCATATTTTGTTGTATATAGTTGGTTGTTGTTGGTTGCTTGATTAGCAACTTGTGTTACAAATATTTTATTATGCTATTTTAGTATATATATTCCAGTGGTTCTGTAGTGTGGTTCCGTAGTGTGACGGCCATGGCGGGTCGTTACAATTAATGTTTAACACTATATCAAATTATTTATTAAAAAAAATAATTTTTGATAAAATAAAATTTGTCGTATGCATGTTTACCTGTTGTACTTTCTATTTATTATATACGTTGATTAAAAAATCAAAATAGTAAAGATTGTAAGATTGTATGCATTAATTGAAAAAATCAAAATAGTATAGATTGGATTATTTATGTTATATTTAGAATTTTTATTATAAGATATGTTTTAAAATAAATTATCATCTAAAAATTTATATTAGATATTAAAAACATGTTTATATCATAAATAAATGAAACTTGATTTTTATACAATTTAATATATATATATTTATATTTATATTTTTATTAGTGTTCAATTATTATAAATATGTCTTTAGGATTGTAGTTTTAACCAAATATTTAAAAAAAATGTCTATGACAGATAAATAAATGATATTTGAGACATTTATTTTTAAAAAAATCTATATTCAAACCTATTAAATTATAATATAACCTAATCTGACCTAATTTGTTTTCATTGTTAATCGTAATTATAGATATAGAAACTTTTAAAAAAATTATGATATATATATTTATATATTTAAAAGTTGTATGTAAAATTTTTAATATTACAAATATATGAATAAATATTACTCTTATTATTTGTACTATTCGTACCGCAATGCCGAGCTCGAGCTCGACATCACACTGCGGAGTGACCCCAAACACGAGCTAGGCGACGTCAGCCCGATAAAACATTAATGAGGCCCCATCATGATGAAACACTACCATCATTACGTAACCGTCATTCCCATTAACACGCCGCCTGCACGTTTTCAAAAACGAGGCGACGGTTATGACACGTGGCATCTTGACAGATAGCGTACGAAAAGGGTCACGACCCCTTATCGGGCTCGGTCTTAACTCCTCGACCCACGATCTTCGGAGCTCAGGGGGCTAGTGTACTATTCGTACCGCAATGCCGAGCTCGAGCTCGGCATCATAGCGTAGAGTGACCCCGAGCACAAGCTAGGCGACGTCAGCCCGACGTCCAAATAGGTCATAACTGATCTCAGGCCCAAGGCCCAATAAAACCCTAATTCACACAAAGGTACGTGCATTACTTATACGAGACTCATACACCCACAAACACTAACTTTAGCATCGGAGTCTCTTTTGCAGGTACTACCCCCGCCTTGGAACAACAATCGTACCCATGAAGGAGGCTCACCGATCTTACTCAGCAGATCGTCCCTACGACCGATCTCCAGTAAGAACATTTGGCCCCCACCGTGGGGCCGATCAAGATTTCTCTTATCGGCCAGGCTTATGGTTTTCACCCGAAGCCATAGTAGACGAGCAACAGACGACCTAGATCGCACAACTAGAATCGATAGCGAAGCAGCATTGAGGAGACTGATCGAACAGGTCGAACAAATGTGGTAGCAACACGCCGACGACCTGTAGAGCGTTCGTGCTAAGCACGAAACTGACCTCGCAGCACTGCATGCTGCAAATGAAACTGACTTGGCGGCACTGCGCCGAGAATGAACTCATCTGAGCCCAGCTTCCTCGACGCCCCTCTGATCAGCCCGCTCAACCGAGTCATCAGCACGAGAAAGAAGGGCACTCGGTCTCTCAACCACCGACTACACATAGAGCATTGACCCCCAAGCCCGCCACACATTGGTCGCATGCGCCGACACACAGGTCGGCCCATGAAGTCAGCAATGCTCCTGCCCAGGCTCCTGGAAATCGGGCGAGCATTCGTCGCCATTTTTTGTGGACGGCATCATGGAGACGCCTTTGCCTTTTGGCTAGAAGCCCCTCCACATCGATCGCTACGACAACACGACAGATCCGGACGAGCACATTGACTTGTACATTACGCAGGTAAACCTTTACAGTAACGAAGATGCTATTTTGTGTAGGGTTTTTCCGACCTCGCTCAAGGGAGCCGCACTCAATTGGTACACCCAATTACCGGCTGAGTCGATTGACAACTTTGACACTCTGGTAAGGTGATTCACGGTGAAATATGCCACAAGTCGGCCTCACCATGTCACATCAACCGCCTTGGCCAGTCTCAGGCAGGGCGACGACGAATCACTGAGGGCTTTCATGGAGCACTTTGCCAGCATCTCGGTCAAGATTCAGAATTTGAACCCCGAGGTCGCCCTACACGCCATGCTCATGGCGCTCAAGCCTGGACCTTTCGTGGATAGCTTGTGTCGACGAGCTCCCGTTGATATGGATGAACTCCGTGCCTGAGCTGCAGGGTATATATAGATGGAAAAGCACTCTGCTTTTCGTGACCAGGTTCGCAGAAAATCATAGATAAAGTCGGACCACGGTCAC